TGCGCATTGCAGTGCTGCCTGTAATGTAACAGGGCAAACATAAATTTCTTTTGTTCGCATTGAGCTATAATAAGTCTTGTAGGACCCCTGACACCAAATTTGGAAACTCGAGATGCTTGTGTTGTTTGAGAATCCTGCATGTGGTTGCTCTTCTGACCGATTATTAGAGACGAGTGTTGCCTATAAGATATAATAATATAGTTTCAAAGTAATAGTGAATGCTCGTCAAAGTATTCCGGTCCAACCGACATTTTCAATGGTTTGACATAGGAAGGGGCTCCCACGTGATGTAGAGGTCAAGCAATTATTTTCACTGCCGGAGTATATTACGGGGCGTGCACAATACCTCGACTGACTTCCGTAGAGGACTATGGTTCGTCAGCCCTCTCGCTGTGTTGTCAGGCTGCTCTCAAGGTGGTTTTTGCTGCTTACGCCAGGAATGCTTTTCATTTTTCTGGGGAGACGCACGCATAAAACACCCACATTGTTTTGTTACTCACTGTCCCTGGGTCCACCTATTTGAAAACAGCTCGTTCAGCGACAGCAAAGCTTAGGCTCACGTCGGAGTCACATAGTCTCAGGTGCTGTCCTGCTGTGGGGCACTAGTTTCTTGTGGTATTTCGGCGAGCGTTTTGAACTGACCCAAGATTGTTCTGAAATAACAATGCTAGTAATAAATATATGATGCATCAGAGCATTTACGATTCAATTTTGTCATTAGCAGATGCAAAGCTACAAATTACTGTAAAAAATTCATCAACAAAACTTTCTCTGTCAGGGGTCCTTTAAGCAGCACGACAAACTTTGCATTCAAGCAATCAAAACTCGCACGAAAGTGTGGTAGCTGTTTCCTGAGAGCTTCGAGCAGACACCACTGTTGCAACAAAGATGCTTTCTTATTTGTATAGATCTGTGCATATTGCAAAATTTTGAGTGCAAAGAAAATTTGAGTAATAAAGTACGTTTTAATTCAACGTTTTTCGAATATTTGCCATACCTGCCAAGTCCCCGTGTTTTGTCTATTTGTTACGCTCATTCGGCTGGCTGGCGATCTCCCAGAAATCAAAATTTCTGCGCAATCTGGCCTTCTTGAAAAAAATCAAACACAGTCCAATCTAGGCTTTTTGTGAAACTATTGGACTATTGCATTATATGTTAAACAAGTTAGGAGGTGTTCATGTAAACGTACAGTATAGTTTCAGTGATACAAATTTGGGAAATTACACGGCTGAATTACACTCTGTCAATGGGCCACAATTATAATGTTCCGAACACCTTGGTGCATCACTCTAGTTGATATGAACTTCAGTACCAAACCGTCTAGCAATGGCAGAGAGCAATACGCTCAAACTTAGGAAGGACGCGCGCGGCCAATGACATTGTTGTCACTCTTGATGCGATGATGTACAGTTGCTCCCAAATATATCGAACTCGAAAGCGATCGCATAATAGTTCGATATAACGATAATTATAAATACAAAATATGCACATTTAAGGTTTAGATAAAGCATTTCAGGCCTTGGGAATCGTTACATGTGCTAACATAATGATTCGCTCACAGTATAATGAAGAACGAAGTGTGAACTGCAAGTTACGACACTTTATTTCGCATGAAAATAGTCAGTAAGCTTGTTTTACTTCTTACGCTCTGTCTAGTTTCAGTCTTTATCAATATCACTAAAGCTTTTCAAATAAGCGAATTCGGCTTCTTCGGCCATGCAAGCTTTGTAGCTCTTCAAAAGGTTGGTTAGCGATGGTAGCGAAGGCGGTGACATATTTGTAAACCCACTGGTACACTTATGCAGCAACGGCAGCCATGATCTCAGCATGGGTGCAGTCTGAAACATCTCCATCTTCATCCACACCAATCAAGTCGCTCTCTGTCAGAGATTGTGTCCAGAAACGCTAAGTCGCAGAATTCAGTGAGGCACCTTACGCCGTTGTCAGTGGTCATGACACACCCGAACGCGTGACCTGGCCCACAAGGAAAGTGTACGACGGTGCTTTACTTGACATCGCTCCAAGTGCCAGTCATGATTTTTATTGCTACGTGCTGGTCAACTTTCCGTTCAAATCCCGAATGAAGATTCATCAGGAACAAGATGAGAAGTACACAAGTTTACAAGACGCAAAAGACAAAGCCGAGTTTTCACTGTCGACATATTGGAAATATATTCACTTGTAGCTTTGTAGCTGGAAGTCGCTGCTTTGATGCAAAAAGCCATTGTGCGCTAACAAACAAGGAAGGGAATGTGAATATTGCTACAAGATGGCCGAGTCACTTCGCATTCTCATTTTGGTGTCCTCGGCAAAAGGTCTTCTTGAAAAACACAATACCTGCACATTAAGACCTTCAGATCGCGCATCAAACATATTGGTGCAATCACAAGCGCCACGCAACAAACTTGATCAGCGTAATAGAATGCCACTGCCTTTTTGTCACCTGCGGACAAAAAGAGATGGAAGCTTGTTAGAATGCGGCCCAAAATTGATGAATATGTGCTAAGAAAATGTCTTTCTGGTCTTCGGCGTGGCACAGCATTCAATATAGAGAATATCCCGCTTTGAGGGAGTTCGAAATGTGGGTGCACTGGTCCCATACTTTTGCATGGGAAATTCAAGGGGATTTCTGAACTGTTCGATATAGCAAATTGTTCGATATTCCCAAGTTTGATATACAGTCGAAACCCGCAATAACGAAACCCCGCGAGTATGAAATCCCCGCGGCAACGAAATATTTCTGGATCCCCGGCGAACGTTCATAGAAGCTAATGTATTACGTATCTCGCGGCAACGAAATGTTTTTGTGCAGCGATCCCGCATTAACGAATTTTCTACCATGGTGCGGGCCTTATTTTACCCTCCCGCCAAAGGTTAACTGTCGAAAATATGCTCGTATGCGTGTTATGCGCATTCAAAATTTTGTAAACGTCTGCTTTTGCCGCGCTAGCGTGGGTACCGCCATTTTTGTTTACTTAAGGGAGGACGCGGCTTTAGGATCATGAAAAATGGCAAAAAAATTGATTTATTGAAAATCAAGTTTGAAGTTTCTGTAACTCTTTTTTCTATCTGATTCCAAAATATCTACACTGAAAACCGCGCAGAAGTGCTTCGGAAAATTCATTTCACCCACCTAGTTAGCGAAACTTTTTCTGGAAATCGCGAGAAAACAGCGATTTTCAAAAAAATGGCTCCGCGATGGCGGGGCCGGGAGCCGGCTTCTTGGGCTCATCGGAAAGAGCGTTTCTCCGTGTTTAACTTTCTTGCCTCAGCTGGCTCCTCCCTTTAAAAACAAGTGCACAAAAAGCAAATGTTTGAAGGTCGTTTTGAGGCCCTTGATTGGCTGTGGCCGCGATGTTGCCTCAGCTCGCCTCGCCAATGACCCGATGCTCGCTCCGGGAGATTGTCGTCTGCTGCTTGTGCGTCGCGAGGACATGGCTCTCAAAAATTGCTACTTCGTGACGTGTTCACAGCTCGATGATCACTTAAGATATAATTACGCTTCAGTTAGGAGCAGTAGGCGGATGCGCGATCAGGTTACTACGAGCATGTCGCGTCATCGGAGTTGTCTTTAGCCCTCACTCCGCCGACAGTGAGACTGCGGGCAGGAATGATGCGCCAGCGGACTCGTGGCGACGTGCTTCGTCGCAAGCAACGAAGCTGTAAGCGGTGGCACGGTCAGATTACTACGAGTGGCCGCACCGGATGCACGATCAGATTACTACGAGCGGGCGCGTAGTCTACGAGCGTGGTGCGTCATCGTAGTCGGCCTCAGCCCTAACTTCGCTGACAGCGAGACTGCGGGCAGGAACGACGTGCTAGCGCATCCGAAACGACCCGCGGGTTGTTTTGTATGCGCAGGACACCTTCGCTCCTTCGGTGCACATGAGGACGATGTAGCAATGGACCACTTTTTCCAGTGCGAAGGCAGAGCTTTGAAGTTGTTGTATAGCAAGGATCGGCAAAGTAAGTTGACCGACTTCTGGCAATAAATTTTCGTTCTGCTGGCCGTATCACTGTTTTTATGTCTGATACTCGCGGCAACAAAATTCTCGCGAAAATGAAATTTTTCGGTTTCTCCGGCGATTTCATTATTGCGGGTATCGACTGTATCCAACATCGAGTGTATGGTGATACCAAAGTGACATAACTCCAAAAGACAGTGTAAATTCAACGCTCACCCACTAAATGTGATGCTTCTTTCTGCGAATGCTGGCAACAGAACCACGACAGATGCATTAAGCAACCAGCAAGTCCTGTATTTTTTTCAGTGCCAGTGGAAACGCTCGCTTCTCAATGGGAGCCAGTGGTCTGGCTTACTTCAGGAAGTGGGCATGATATAATGCCCCATAAAGGGTAGGCTTGCTTGCTTTGCATATGCGTCCAAACGCTTTTCTTCGGAGATGGAATAGACACACTTTCCCACTCCAATATCATGCGTCAGTGAGATTTCTTCCTCCATGCTCCTTCTTTGTGGTTCGTAGCAGTACGACTGCCGCCTCACAGCGCTCATGTGGCATCTACACCAAGGAAGTTGTGCAATGTGAAAGTGTGCAAGTTCCCCGGTTTCTTTGTGCTTGACGTTCATGTTACAGAAATTGTGTGAAAACATGCACACTGACATTCTGGCTTTCTTAAGGACATGTGCGTGTTAGTGTGATTGGGCATTCTCATGTTTAATACATTTATGCTTCAGAAGGAAGAATGATGTAGAGGTGCATATTAATTATATAACTGATTAGCCATGGTGTCATCTTATATAAGCAGAGGTCGGCTTATATATAAACAGGGGATTTTCGGGAAGGAGACTTTCATGTAGACAGCATTTCTTGTGAAGTGCGATGCTGATGGTGCGTTCTAGGACATTGCCAATGAGGGAGGGGGGCACCTTAATGGAGTGCAGTGGGCAAAACTACTAGGGTCATAGTGTGTTGTGCTTGTGTGTCATGTAAGCACAGTGTGTTACCTCATGGTCATCTCCACACACTTTTTCGTAACAGGTCTTTGGTGAGATGCCTCTTCAGCTTCAGCCAGTGTCCTGCATTTTTTGACAACCTCATTATTGCCTATGGTGAGCACCTGTAACCTATGTTCTAATACTTTCAGTGGTGATGTTGAGGGATGGAACATCTTTGCCATGTGTGCCATTTTGTGCCAATCTTGTTTATGTGTGCCATCTTGCGCTCAACCACCCACCCTGCACCAAACTCGTTTATCAGTATCGCACTACGCTGCGGCACCTGAATTGAGCCGCAGGGTTGCACAGCCAGCAAGCCCCGTGCCCGAAAACATGGCTGGAACATCGTGTTCTCAGTTTGACCGAAACTGTATAGTTTCGGTTTCATCATTACGAAGGTTGGATCAACAGGCACAATGCGCCACTAAAGAAAAAAAGGCCATAAGTTTCGAAAATGTTGCTTTGTCTTTTTTTTCTTAACATGTGTTTCAAAGCTCATTACATCAAAATGTCTTCTGTGTTAAGGAATACACTTTGATGAGATAAATGGCCTGCTGTGTTGAAAATGATCTGCTGTGTTCGATATTGCATAGTACCAAAATAAAAAACCCCAGAACCATTTTGCAGCTCTAAAGAAGTCTAACCTAGGAAGAAGCTTCCAGGATATGCACACATTTGTGCAGGCATTGTACTACCTAGTGGTATTGTGGCCATTGGGAGACTAACATATTAAAACACAATAAAGAGAATAACATGAATGTGTGCTGCGGCCCGTTATTTTTACATGGTAGCGTAAAAGAGTTCGCTTCACAGGAATTCTGTTGTCTGCATCGACATGGGCATCATTGGTTGTGAGCGAAAAATCAACTTGTGCATGACTGAAAAATCGAGAAAGATGCATATAAAATAGATAATAAAATTTCCAGGTCCAAGCGAGTATCCTCGGCTCTTGATTTTTTAGTTTGCGTGGCAAGCAAGCATTTTACTGCACAGCCGTGTGTCTGCTTGTAATTACAGTAAAAATGGCTTGCTCTACTTAGAAATGCAGTTAAAATAAGGGAAATATTGTTCTTGCTTCACAAACGAATGTATCCTGTGTACATGCTTCACAATGCAACATGTAATATCGTGATAATATTGCATGGCACAAGTGCACATTGCCATTGGTTGTCAGAACAAGTGGTTATCTTAACGAATTCATGCTTTAAAGCTGGGGACCCATTACAAAAGCCCATGTGTACGCGTATTCCCTTAAGACCACATAGTGGGTGTATAGCAAGTTAGAAAAGATTTCACGAGCATAATTGCTAGTAGTCTAAAGCATGCTAGCCATTACCAGTGATGGAAGTGCTGTTCCAATTGCTCCAAACTGATTTAAAAGAAAAGTTCACTCCGTGTTACTTTAAAGTGTTATATGCGTTAATAACTGCTCCAAACCTGTTCCAAAATGGCATTGAGAAACTGAAAACAAGGAACTTGAACTTTGTGATCATTAAGCAAGCCTACTTAAAACCAAAAACAAGGTGTATATACAGCTGAGCTTGCTTATAACAAACCTGAGTGGGACACGGCATCTGTTCATTGTATTTTGAAGTTCGTAATAAATGAAACACAGCTTCAAAAAAAATGTTGAATGAGAACACAAAATTTTTTTTTCAAAAGAAGTTCGTGACACATATTTTTCGAGTAGCAGAAGCGATAAGGATGGTCTCAAGCTTATTTAAAGTGGCAGTGTGCTTTTCTTTGAGGCCTGAAGCATAGGTTGCCTGAAGCTATTAATGTAGCCAATTGTTACAAGCACGCTTGTGGGCACTAGCTCCAAAGTTTTATTGAGTGTCATCATCCTCACAATCCGATTCCACCAAATCGCTCTTGCCGTGCACTTCATTCACAATACCTTCATCAGTGCTCAGTTCTGCAGTTTCGCCATCATTATCGGTCGTACTTAAATCATCGCAACAGATGCCCTGCACGCCTTCCCATGTCCCATGTTGGAGTGGACAACGCACTGCCACACGTCGCTGAAGTGGTCCTGTTAGGAAGCTTTACGCTCGGCATCGGATCTGACGTCAATGAAGTTAGCCTTGCGAAAACATTCTTACTCACATGAAGCCATCACCGCCACCCACGAAGCCTTCACCATTTCCACAGCTGAATACAGAGACACCCGAAACGGCAAGTTAGCTTCCGGGCGGTCAAAAGATATAAGCAAGTGCTCCACAACGCGGCACCTATAGCGATTCTTAAACGCATGGATTACGCCTAAGCCAAGCGGTCACACTTTCGACGTTTTGTTTGGCGGCAGAAAACAGCAAGGAAGGCCCCACGTCCACCATCCTGACCACACACGCGCACCAACAGCGAGCAAGACACGCACGCAAGATGTAGAAGCCAGCACGCGTGTAACTGCTCTGGGCCCATTTTTAGTCAGAAAATCAAACTTTTGGATTCGAGCTTGCGTGGCTGGTGGCTGGCGTCGCGGAGTGGTGGAGACGGGCGGAGCTGCGATAAAGGAAAGCAGACTTGCGAGAGACATGCAGAGGAGTTGGGATAGAGTGATGCATGAGTGGGGGAGCATACGGTTGTCTGTGGAAAGGGCGGTTTGTGCCTGCTGAGGCCAAAGAATCTCATTGTGACGCCGGTGGACTTGCGCAGCCCCTCAGACTACGATAATTTGCAATTAATTTCGTGTGAAAGCTGTTTTTACGCTTCCGAACTCATGTGCAGGGCATGCTAAGGTGAGTGTGAACTGAGCGAGAACAGGTCCTAAACACGGAACGAATCGCATATTATCAAAGTCGGTGCGGTAGCGCAAGTGAGTGAACTGGAACGATACGACACCGATTCAAACAAGACTCAAACTATTGGGTACAGTCGATAGTCGACGATGATTGCTAATGGTCTAGTCAATGAAAGTGTTGCAAAATCAGTGATCAAAATCTGGGGGGAGACTAGTTGGCCGACTGTTTTTTGAAAAATCGCTGGCAGTGTAAAAACACGGGCCTTGTCTGGCAATGCAGGGCGCTCAGAGTAGCGGGGGACGAAGGATGGAGGGGGCGTGTAACAAAAAACGGTTCGGGAGAGCAACTAGACGGTTGCGGAGGCAGAGTCGGCATTTAACAAAAAGATACTATGGGCACCTCGCTGATAGCTTATTGTGGCTAAAAGTTGTTTTCCAGGAAGTTGCTGGAGCGCTGACTCTGTTCGCTGTAAGCGATTGATGACACTCAGAGACTTTGTTTGATTTTTCGCCATTAAAATAATGTACATTTCCAAGGCACTGAAATAATGAGTTAGGATTAGAAGGATGAATGTATTCCCGATGGTTCAGATAGCCACGACGACACGTTGAAGGACTGGAAAAGCCCGGTTGCTCACTTCCTGGCAAGCTTCCATTCATTTACACACTGCCACTTATTTACAAACAAAGGCCACGGTGACCACTAAACTGACCGCACAGTAAGCGCTGGGCTGTATTAATGTCGGCGTTACTTGCTGGGCCCTTCGTATACTCCACACATCGACACCAACTTCTCGATGTAGTATCAACCTTGGATTGGAGCCGGCGCCAAGCACGACCTCTGTCCTTGCTTCCCGATCTCGTTCTTGAGCACTAAGCTCTGCTTCTCTCCATTTCCCTCCGTTATATACCTCCAGCTCGGCCGCTGGAGGAAAGAGCGCATGGCTACGGCCCGCCGCGTGCTCCGAAACCGGCGTGACGGGTCTAGTTCTCGAACTACCGCTGCGGCGCCACCGGGGGAAGACAGTTTTCGCGAGCGCCCACAAAATGGCATGCGCGGCGCGCATGTGGTAGTTAGCGCGTGCATCTGTGTGCGCCACGCAAAATCTTTCAATATTCGTCTAGCGTGTGCCCACCAGTTAAATACCGATCTTGCTTTTACATACCTGCAGCTCTTGCAAATTTTCAGTATTGTCTTGCACGAGATGCATGGAGCCTTCCACATCGAACAGGTTTCACGGAAGTAAGAATTGTGAGCACATTTTACTCGGATCCTACAAAATCACAACTGTAGCTCTTCCTACAGGTCTGGAAGAGCTGCATCTTTCTAATGCATCTAAATTTATTATAGCAACTGTGAGTATGTCGCTTCAGAAAACGTTGCTTCAGATTTATTCATTTCATTTAGAATAAGTAACCTCAGCAATTGCAGTTCCCACTATTTCTTTAACGCAAAATAAGATAGACTTTTTACTTCCTCCAAGTACGTCTATAGTATTCGTACAATACAGTATCAGATGCAACAACTTCGAAATATACTTAGCATGTGTGCGATCTCATAACAGTGTACTCGAGCCTCTTTGAAATTTCAGGGACTGTAACTTCAATGCTGGCAATTGAGCGCGCAGTTATGAAGTGAATAATATTGATACAAAACAGCCGCTAAACACGGCTGCATGAAAGAGGAGGACGAAGGGGGTTTTTCCGTTGGATGCTGGTCTGACGCCATCTTGCTCATCGGGTTCTCTGTGCTGTAAATAGCTCATTAAACAAGCTACTCGTAACATTATTGGAGGAGGTGGACGACCCCCGTACCTCGATGGAGATGCGCAGCGGTCGCACCATCGGCGACCTTTCGACTGCTTCGACTGCTGGTACTTCCTCTACGCCGCCCTCATCAGTCCAAGCCACCACCTACGTCACACTACCGCACCTCCGGGATACCGGCACTTTCTCCGGTGATGGTATGATTGATCTCGACACTTGGCTGAAGCGGTACGAGCGCGTCAGTGCTACTCACCGATGGGATCCCACGCTCATGCTCGCCAACGTGCTTTTCTACCTGGACGGCACTCCCCGAACATGGTTTGAAAGCCACGAAGCCGACATAACGAGCTGGGATCTCTTCAAAGAAAAGATACGTGACCTGTTTGGCGATTCATCTGGTCGTCAGCTCGCTGCGAAGAAGACTCTTGCCACACGGGTCCAGTCTTCTACCGAATCGTACGTCTCTTACATTCTTGACGTCTTGGCCCTTTGTTCCAAGGCCGACCAGTCCATGTCGGAAGACGAAAAGGTTAACCACGTCTTGAAAGGCATTGCTGACGATGCTTTCAACCTGCTGGTTTTTAACAACGTCTCGAGCATCGACACA